ACGATTTTTGAATGGTAACAATTTTCTACCAATCTGTAGAGGTAATGTTAGTCTATCCCTGTCTAATGTTTAGCAACGCTTAGAATTATGTGGTAGTTCTCGATGCACCCCAAGGACACCGTAAAGCTGCTTGAAATGTTTCAGGCGATCCGTTAATTTGATAATCGCCATTTGAGAAAGCAAAACTAAATCCGGATAGCCAGTAGACTTACCGCTACTGATGATGCAACAATGGTCAAAAAAACTGATACAGTAGTAGCTGCAAGCGGGAAAAATAGATTGTGAACTCCAGCTGATCCAGGTGCTCTAAATGAGGCGAAAATGATTTTAAGCAAAAATGTAAAACATTTCACTTACGTCTTCAATTTTCACCACAGCACCCTTGCCCGACGGAGCGACTAAGTGAGCCAGCGGGATCACCAAAATCAAAGCAATTTTGAGCATTGAGCTTTTTTGACCTGGAAAATTAGATTTACAACAGCTGACTTGCGTGGTAAAATGCGCACCGCAATTGAAGTGATCATGAAAAAAGTTAAAGATCGGACATTAGAAATCAGATCCTGTGGAAGAAATATTTTTAATCCAGATTAAAAGTCAGAGAGTACTATCAGAATTCAAGCGAAAAATTTTTTTGGTACTGGTCACACGCCAAACATCAGGCAACAGATTTCACGTGAAAAATTACTTTTAGTTTAATTTCAAATCCATTATTTGAACCAATTCTAAACAGCTGAGTTATGTATGTAATATAAGCAACATGTAAGTGAAACAATCTACACGCTAGAATACCGATAATAAAAGTGTTCGGAATGTGGGAGCATCCTAGTAAAGTTACTAATATATGGGACACCCACACCGATTGTCCTGGCAGGGTTAACATTTTTGACATATTTTGGATATCGAAAGATTTTTAGCTGGTTAAATCCTAGACTAAGATGCATTCGCATCCTGCCGATCTTGATGTGTATTGGATAGTACAAGCCGATATTTCTAGCTGATTAAATTCTAAATAAAGGTATATTCGTTACATTCAGCATTTTTCCACGTAATACAAAACAGGATTTCTGTTAACAAAATTGATACTAAGACCTGCATTTTTGATTTTGTAAAAATGAACTTTACTCATGTTAAGTGCCTCAAAAGTTTGGATTGAAGTACGCACAATCGGAGGTAACAGGATAAGAGGATTTCTGAAAGAGTGTTCACACATATTACACAAACGGGAACCGCTTGTTTATATATATATATAAAGTCTTGAAGGTTGCTTACAAGCAAGCTGACGGCTATGTGCCTTGCTATATGCTGGTACCAATTTATCTTAAAACCGATGAACGAGCCGCAGAGGAAAGAGTGTTCCGCTGGCAGAATAGAACCCTTATGAAAAAATTGTAGCGTAGCTTCGGTAAATTTTGGGCACTTCCAAGCGAGCTATTGCAACACTCACTGCACAAACATACAGGTAGTGGTGTAAGTTCATCCGTGAGGCTGCTCAAAATTCAATAAGGTTTGGAAACAAAAATGAAGCCCTCAAAAATGCACTTTTTGACAAGAACGTTTCTAGTGACAACAGCATTTTTTCAGAGTTTAAAAGTAAAAGAAAGGGAGTCAATGTCTGGACTAAAAAAGGAGTCAGCGTCTGTATTTTTCGACTGAAGAGTT